TCTCTCTCATTCACCTGAAGGCCCTCTCTGCTGCAGAAACGTAGCGAGTGACCGTGGCCTGCTTGATGCACGAGGGGGAGGCAGAAGGTCACTGGCTTTCAAACCTGGACAGGTCGGAGCTGATTCGGGTGAAAGGAGGAAAAGGGAACACAGCATGCACACTAGATGCATGGACACTCCATGGACATTGCACACCATGCACGCGCACCATAGCACCCACCCATCCACCCATCCTGGAGAACACAAGACTCTACTCTAAGTGTGGATGCATGTATCACAATACATGTGTGCGTACCCCATATGCATGCAGGTCCCCAACTCCCCGTTTCACTCTCTTCAAGTCCAACACGCCACCACCTCGCCCCTCTTCGCCACCTCCTGCCCTTCCGACACCCATCCCGCCCACATCTCTCCCTGTCCGGCTGAATCTTAGGGGGCGACCACAAGAGAGGCACATCTGAGAGCCATAACTAGATGGCATCTCAGATGCCATGCTCGCCCATGTGTCCACCATGACACATCTAAAGACCATTCTCTTGTACTCTAGCTCAGGCTTCACTGCGGAGGGCATCAAGCACCTCTACAGGCTGCCACAGCTGGAGTGGTTAGACCTCGATACCACAGATGTGTCAGACAATGCCTTGGAAGGGATCGGGTCCTTGGTTACTCTCACGGTCCTCACTCTCACAGGGACCAACGTGACCGATGCGGGGTTGGCGCACTTAACAGCTCTCTCCTCTCTCACAGAGCTCTGGCTTTCTAGTTGTGAGGGCGTGATAGATGCTGGCATGGTTCTTGTGGGGAAGCTGACAGGGCTTGAGAAAATGGAGATGGATGGCACGGCAGTCACGGATGATGGGCTGCAGCAGCTGAATGCCCTTACCAAGCTGACATATTCGTGCCTCTAGAAGAGGGTGTACTAAGGAAGGATGAGATTTGCAGGCGGATAGGCAGGGACGACTGAGGAGTGAGTCACGGATTGGTGGCTGTGCATGGTTGTATGGTGGTTACGGAATGGAGTCTAAACTAAAGTTAGAGGATCGTATAACTGAAGCCTTGCAGTTGGACAGAAATAGGTGCAGGAGGACTGTTAGGACAAGAAAGCAGGTGCATGCAAGAACAAGCATAGTGAGAGTGGGTAAACAGAAATTGCACGTGAGAACAAGTGACATAAAGAAGAGCTTGTGTGGCCAAAGTGTGGAGGATTGAGCTGGTGGCTGGGCAATGCCGAGGGTGCAGAATACAGCGTGTGTATTTGTGCCATGCCAGCCACACCAGGTAGACCGGTACATAGGACTGTCCAACAGTTGCAAGCCGGCAATGATGCATGCCTGGCTTACAAGTTGAAAGCTATCGAAAAAAGTTAGAAAATTTTGTTGTCATTAAATGTATGGATCATGAAATTGGTGTAGTGTTGGCAAGGCTGGGTAGCATGGAATATTGCATAATACCGAGAGCAGTGGTCAAGCACAAGCAGGTTTGTGATTGCACGAGAAAGGGAAGTGTTCGCGCTGCTTCGTCGCCCACCCATATGCCCATCTAATGCCATGTGGTAGGCAAGTGGGAGATGTAAATTCCTAGAGTGATTACACTAGGGCCGACCGCTTTTTCAGGATTACCCTGCCAAAATCAGGATTCCACAGTAGTTACCCCTTTGAAAAAAGAGCATGCTTTTTTTTACACTAATAGGATTTATGGTTACCCTACAGTGTCAGGGTTGGGTGTACACTACCCTGATACCAAAACCTTTTTACCGCGGATCAGGCCATACTCCGCGTGGTGACAAACTGTACCACATCCACACAAACAAGCGTTGTCGCTTGTGACCGCTGGCATAAAACCCTGATTCGTTGTCGGCGTCACACCATGTCGGCTCACTCATTGTTTCTCCCACAGGACTGCCACCGCACCCTTGAATCCAGCCACACGTCGCCACACCCACGACCACCACAGCACAGTTGGGCGTCAAGGACAGCTTCAAGTTGTCATAGTCCCGCTCTGCTGGCCATGCACTTCCCGCCGTGGGGAAGAAACGGCCCTTTGGAGGCTGCCAGAGGCTCGTTCTCTACGAGGGGGTCTCTCGCTTGTTCCTCATTCTCACTCATTTTCAACCTTCAAGTCCAAAATGCCTACTGGAGAGGCCGATCCACCTGGTAGCGCGAGAAACGGCCTTTCCGTGCTGGGCGTTTTACCACGCCTTAGCGAGAACTACACCGTTCTCATCGCACCGCCGCCTCGTGAACCGTCTCCAGAATGTGTGGTAGGAACGGTTTATCCGTTAAAGCCACCAGACTCACCCACGGCGTGGGAGCAACACCCTTCCATAGAGCTAGTTCCTGGAGGTGGCGAGGGCATGTCTAAGCTGCCAACTGCTTCACCTTTGACGGCCAGCAATGCGCCCGTCAAGCGACCGCGCGACTTCACACAAACGCCCTGCACCTTCTACCGATCCGAAGCCACCCACCGCTCTCGCGGACGCTGAGTACGAATCGGTAAAGAAGACTTTTGAGGCTCAGTGGGCAGGAAGTTTCAAATGGTTACGCTTGCTTCGCATATCTAACGGCCGACCTTCTTTGAAGCGTTCCATTTGTTTGAAGCACGGAGGTCCACTAGCGCAGACAGCGTATGGGGCGAAGGGTGAGGGTGCTCGGGATCTCTAGATAGGCAGCATCCGCACTCACTCGTCGACCCGTGCACACAAGCAATCGGTGGAGAATTAAGAAAAGGCGGAGGCGGAGAAGGCCAAGCAGACCACACCCACTCAGTGGCAGACCACGGATTTTTCTACCCGCCACATAATCCGACTCCTACACATCACGGATTTTTTTTCTTCGTGTGCAAGGCGGACGCTCCCATCGCCATGTTCATCCCGCTGTGCTGGTTTCTAGCGAAGGAGGGGTTACCAGACCTTCCTCCCGCTGGCGGATACGACGCATACTACACCGAGTAAGTGCTGCCTTGTGTTGCTGAAACTGGTTCATTGCTTGTTATGCACTATCTCATTTGACCACCATTTGTTTCTCATGGTAGTTACGGATTCAAAGAGAATATGCGCGCACTATCTGTTAACAGGAGTGGAGTGTTGGCCCCGCCCTCGCTTGGGCAACGCCGACGGCTTGGTCGGATGTACGGGAGTAGCAGCCGACCGTTCACAGTGGGAAAGCTGCTCGACAGGCTTTATCGAGCGGCAGGGGACTGCTGTGGTGTTGCTGTCAACTCGGGAGCTTGACAGCTGCAACTGACTGGTCTAGACGACGGGTGGACTGTCGACCAGGAGCTGCAGTTTGACAGGGAGGTTGACGAAGCAGTCCATCGACTTACAGTTCGACCGGGAGGTCGACGGAGCAGTCCGCCAACCTGCAGTTCAACCGGGGAGGTCGACGGAGCCGCTGTCGACCTGACAAGTGAGCAACGGTCGACGAGGGGAGCTCGGCGATAACCGCTGACGGTCTTGGTCGACGGAAGGGGTCCGTCGACCAGGGGGTAGCTCGACAAGAGCTGTGGTCGACCAGAGGCACCTGGTGGTTGACCAGAGGCACCTGGTGGTCGACCAGAGGCAGTGGTGGTTGACTAGAGCACTTGGTAGTCGACTGGGTAACCTGCTTGACGAGATCTGCGGAGGCATGCGAACGTCCTCGAGCTCGCGATGGCGAAGGCGACTTCGGGTTGGTATCCCGAAGTCGATGTGGCTCGTCAGGCGCAGACAACAGCCGACGGATGCACAACAGTGCAAGCCGGGCCTATTGCCTGGGCGCACCTTCGAGCGTGCGCATTGCTGTCTTTTACAGGGCAACGATGGGACAGCCACTCTGCTGCAGCGTTGGCACGCCATTGACCTGCTGTGTTGGCAGCTCGCCTTTCTCCAATGCTAGCACGGCTCCTCTACGCAACGCTGGCAGGTGGTCGACCATGATGTGCTGGCGCTCAACCAGGCTAGCTGCAGGGTTGCTAGGTGCCTGATGTAATCATTCTGTAATTCCAACTTTGCTAGCGAAACTCTTGCCGATTTCTCTCGTATATGTGCAAGCAATAAAGAACTAAGCCAAGCTACGACCACTCCTAGTCGTTTGTGTCAACCCCCTTAGTCTAGCTCACTACTTTTGTCGAGTGACTTTACGCATGGTACGGTGTGTCAAGCTATAATTGTTATGGTTTGTATTGTTTAATCTAGATGGTGTACACATTGGTTAGTGCTCAGGTTAGGTTTGCTATATCTACCCTTGTACTTGCTCATTCTAGTCATTCATTCTTATATCTAAACATGGTATAGAGCTAGGTTTCCCTAGCTAGGGTTTCCCATAGCGTTTTCACCCGATAGATTAAGGGCCCACCATATTCGCTAGCGCGCGCCTCATACTAACGCGCACCTCGTCGTAATGCGGGCCTCGTAGACCGTCGCCCGTCACCCGGAGCGCGCCCGTCGTCAGTACCCACCCCGTCGCCAGTAGATCACTCGTTGCCCGTCGATTTTTTCCCCTCCTGTCGCCCGTCGATTTCCCCCTCCCGTAGCCCGTCGCCCGTCGCCCTTCTCCCGTCGACCGTAGGAACAGGCTCCGCGGCCCCCTTTTTTTTCCGCTAGCGGGCTCCGCGGCCCTTTCGATAGCGGGCCCCGCGGCTCTTTCGATAGCGGGCCCCGCGGCCCTTTCAATAGAGGGCCCCGTGGCCCTTTCGATAGCAGGCCCCATGGTCCCGTCGTTAGTCGCACGCGCGCACAGCAGCAGCCGTGCGCACGTGCAGCTCGCCCCCTTAACCGCTGCCCCACCCTCAAACGGCTGCCTTACCCCCCGCCCCATCTCTTAGCCGCCACCCCACGAGTTGAAACCCGTCGCCCCACCTGACACCCGCTGCCCCAGGAGCTGCCTCACCCGCCGCCCCACCAGTTAGCCTCAGCCCCACCAACTAGCCACACCTGGAAACCATAGTCTACCATCCGTACCCGCTGAACCGCACAGAACCGCACATAATGGCACAGAACCGCACAGAATCGTACTCCACTCGTGCTAGCTCCCCTGGAACTGCACAGAACCGCATTCCACCCATGCTACCCCCCCCCCCCCCCGGAATCGCTTAGAACCGCACTCCACCACCCTAGACCGTTCTTCACCGCTCCCAACCGCACTGAACTGCCCTCCATCGCTCCCAACCGCATCCGACCGCACAGAACCCCTCCCACAAGCACCAGAACCGCACTCAGCCGCATTCCACCGCACCAGGCCACTCCTAGACCAACCTAACCGTCCAACACTGTTCCCAACCGCTCTCAACCCCATCCAACCGTTCACCACCGCACTAGACTACCATCAGTTGCTCCATGTAAAGGTCTCAGTCCAGCACGCCATGGAGGAACGCGTTCTTCACATCGAGCTACATCAGGTCCAAATCAAGTGCAGCTGCAATCGCCAGAAGCACACGCGTCGTCACATAGCTTCCCACAGAGGCGTACGTCTCCTCATAGTCCACCCCTGCCACCTGCGTGAACCCCTTCACCACCAGCCTCGCCTTCTCACGCTCCACTATCCCATCAGGTCGGAACTTGGTGTTCAAAATCCAGCGGTTCTTCATCACATTCACCCCTTGCGGACGTGGAACCAACTCCCACGTCCCCTGCTCAATCAAGCTCCGCATCTCCTCATCCATCGTCTCCTTCATCTTGTCTCCCTTCCAGCAGCCCAAGGCCTCCTTCACAATCATTTTCGCTATGTCCCACTGCCTCTCAGGATCAGCTGCCACGTCTGGGTCCAGGTTAGTCCACTCCTCGTCCTCCTCCTCGTCATCCAAGCCCACTAGCTCAACCACTACAGCCCAAGCGTATCGAACAGGCGGGACACCACGAGTGATACGAGTGGAACGACGCAGTGGTGCAGTGGTTGTCCCAGAAACCAACACACGACCACCGTCTCTAATTCCCCACATCTCCTGCTCCCCTGTCTGCGGCTCCCCTGTCTGCTGCTCCCCAATCTGCTGCTCCCCTGTCTTCTGCTCCCCAATCTGCTGCTCCCCTGTCTGCTGCTCCCCTGTCTCCTGCCCCCCACTCTGCTGTACTCCATCCATACTGCTCTCGTCCTGCAGCTGCTCAGTCTCAAGGCGCTGCCCGTCGGTGATCTCCACAGACGGTGGCACCTCCATCCCCCCCTCACCAACGGGCGGCGCCGTGGAAGACGAAGAAGAGGGCGGAGCAGGTGCATGAGGGATGGAGGGTGGAAGGGGAGATGGAATAACAGGAGGAGGAGGGGAAGCCAAGGGGTGTGAGGAGGAAGAAGGCGGGGCAGGGGGAATCACACGAGGGTAGACTGAAGGCGGAGGTGGGGTGGGGACCGAGGTAGGGACATAGGGCATAGCAGGAGGTGCGACCACCTCCTCTTCCTCCTCCGCCTCCTTGAGAGTGATCGGGAAGCGTGAGGGAAGGGGCTCATTGGGCATCGAACGCCCCCCATGCTCCTGCTGATGCCAAGCATTCCATCCTGCTAGGGACATGGTCTCATAGGACACAACTTCCATAGTGGTGATGAGGCAGTTGGACTCCAAGTCCAGCATAGTCCAGCCCTTGCTCGCAGCTGACACACCCAAGTGCAACCCCCAGCGAGCCTTAGGCGCCAGCTTCCCCCCACGCTGCGACTGTGGTACCATGTACTGCAGCATGCAGCCCCAAACACGCACCATACTGACATCAGGTTTGCGTCGGAAGGCGAGCTCGTACGGCGTCACACCAGAGGGTAGTGAGGCGTGCTCCACGTGGTTGCGCACCCAGACGGCCTGAGCCAACGCCAGGTGCCACCAGCGATGCTGCACACCCATGTGCAGCAACATCGTCCGCACCGCCTCCACAATGCTGCGCATCTCCCTCTCGGCCATCCCCTTCTGCTCCGGCTTGTACGGGCATGTGAGGTCATGGATGATGCCTTTACCGTCGAGGAAGAGCGTGAAGTTGTGCCCCAGGAACTCGCCACCCCGATCAGTGCGCAACGCCTGCACCGTGGTCTTGCACTGTCACTCTGCCATCGACACAGCAGCAGGAAGTTCGTGCAGAGAACACGCCCCTTGCTGACCTTCCTGCTGCTGTGTCGCAGCAAGAAGGTCAGCACGAACTTTGCCACGCCCCTTGCTGACCTTCCTGCTGCTGTGTCGAACACGGCTGGAAGTTCGTGCAGAGAACACGCCCCTTGAACCCCGCACGACCAAGGAGCGATCCATCTGGTGCCCGCAGCAAAGTCACATCCCCGGCATCCAGCAGCTGCACACCACTATCACGCAGCTGCCCAGCAGAGATAAGACTCGCCTGCACTCCTGGTACGTACAGCACGTCCGGCACCAAGACACGCCTGCCCCCCTCCCCAAGAAGAGCGACTGTGCCTCGCCCCTACACCTCCTGAAGGGCGCTGTTGAAGCCGGTAACCTGCTTAATGCTGCCGCCGCTGCTCATCTCCACAAAGACAGAATGATCTCCCATGAGATGGTGGGAGCATGCGCTATCAAGCAGCACGACGCTCGGGTTCGCCTTCACAACAGTTGCAACAGCCTGTAAGCCCTCCCCGGCCTCAGGCTCTAGCACAACGAGAGGAGTCTGCTCCACAACTGGCTTCACCATCGCACATGATGACTGTCCGCTCCCCTTAGAGCCATCACCCCCCTTTCCGCTGCTACCTCCAGAACCCTCTCGACCGGTGTCTGCCTCCTTATTAGTCTGCTGCTGACAGTACTTAGCAACATGCCCTATTTGTCCATACACATAGCACTTCCCCTTGAAGCCCCCTTTTCCCCCCTTCGGTTGGCCATCCTTACCCCCTTTCCACTTCTCCCCTCCCCCACCAAGCTCACCCCCATTCTTAGGCTACTGCTGCTGTGCCATAGTGGGAGGGGAAGGGAATGAAGTCTGCTGGAATTGGGGCTTACCCTTCTTGGTAAAGACCTGGTTAGCCTGGGGAAGGAATTGGTCCTTTCGTCCCTCTGCCGCCAGCGTACACTCCTCCTCGATGATGTAGCTAGCGAGGGTGTCCTCGTTCAACTCCTTGCGCACCTGCGGCAACTTCAGCATCCTGCGTAAGAGGTTGTACTGCTGCGGCAACCCCTTCACAACGTGAGTGATGTACGACGCCTGCGAGTAATCTACGCCGGCCATCCTCAGGTTCACTAGGATCTGCTGCGCGCGGTTGCAATAGGACGTAGCGGACTCGTGCTCTCCCATCTCGAGGTTAGTGAGCGTCTGCTCTAACAGACCGATGTACAGATCGTCCTTCGCCATGTACGTGCGCATAATAAACTGCCATGCCTGATAGCCGGCATCGACCTTCATGCGACACGCCTTAAGGGCGATCTGTATGGTTGGGGAGCAGCATTGGGAAATGGTGGTGAATGTCAGCAACTGCATCGCGCGGAACTGAGAGAGATGCGCAAGCGCACGCGCTGGTGGAATGGGGGTGGTGCCATCTATGAATCGCTTTAGCTGAGCAATCTCAAGCTGCGGCTCGATTGATTCTGTCCACGTCGACAGGTTGTGACGTCCTTCTAACGGCCTAGTGATAACGATCTTGTATGGAGTGAATCTGAAGTAGCCATAGTTGGGGGCTATTCCCTTGTCCCCCGACATCGATCCAATTGGGGTAACGCTCGGCATAGCCTCACAATCGAACTCTTCCGCAATTCCTCCTCCAGCAACGCTCCGCCGTCCTACATTCGCATGCTCTCGTGACGCTGCTGCACGATGAACACGCTCCTGTACACCGCCGACGCTAGCCGTACTAAATCGAGTTGGTCCTCGCAGGACCCCACGCGACATCAACCCATCAAACTCCTCGTCATCGCTATTTCCGCCATCGACAGCCATATCCCACGCACTAGTACCTCCCGCAACTTGCTCAACATTCTCTACACGTGGTGAAGGGTGCTCACGACGCCGACGCGAGCGCAATCCCTCCAACATTAGCTCGTATTCGATATCACTAATCTCACCACGAGAATGACGAGCCACAAGATCCTCCTCTAGGGCGCGCAAATCACCGGCCTCCACGTTTGCCTCCTCTGTACTCATCCTCTACGACGTCTCTATAAGGTACCACAAATTAAAATAAAGTGCCCCTTCCTTAAATCCCTCGTCTCGGGGTCACCTCACAAGGGTCCTCAGACGAGTGGTAATAAATTACCAAACGCCTTATCCTTGGGTCCGAGAACGTAACTGGAGGGAAATCAAGAGAGGTTCAACTTAGATTAATAAGCGCCCTTCACTAACGCCGCATGCCAAGGCGAGTATACGAGCGCGAATATCAACGACGACGGAAATCTATGCGTGTTCGTTCCACGCTCAACGCACCATGAAGGAATATATTAGAGAGCGTAGCGATAGCGAGAGAGTCTCTGCTATGGGAATGATGTTGCGCCAGCAACTTGGTAGAGTTTTGGTAGCGTTTGCCTCTAAGGACTTTGTGAGAATTGAAGTAGCATTTGGGCCAAGTAGAATTGCAATATCAACTATCAAACACACAAGCAAACACAAACATATATAGGCAAGCAAGAGTTGCACAATTGTTGCGTGGCGTTGCGAGTAACCCAACCCACACGAAAGTGCTGTGCAGGTGGGTGAACGAGCCCCGCACATTTCCAACCCAACTCGGCACCCAAATGTCTCACCGTGCACGCTACTCCTGCCAACACAGCAAGTGAGCAGCATGCCTCACAAGCAAGGCACCTACGACCCCCAAGACTCGTCATTCCTAGCACCGATTCCGCCGAGTTCGCTGCAGTAGCTCACAGTCACCCGTAGTCACTAATGACCGCCACCGAACTCGTGCGTCGGTGCCGAGTAGACTCAGTCGTTAGGCGCCGACCTGCCAAGTCAAAGGTCATCGAGGGCCCTTGCTGTCGTAGGGCCCTCTAACAGATTTGACTCAACTGAAGGCGCTGCAACACTTGAATGTCAAGGGGTGTAAGCAAGCAATTGAGGGCATGTCACGTGCACTGCGCTATGGCCTCCTAGACATGCATGGGCTGACAATTGTCAGGTTCAAAACCGACATGCCATGGTGATTGCGTTTCATTGTGAATAGTGCCTGCCTATACATATCCTCTTCTCAAAGGAGAGGGCATACCGTACCTTCAAATAAAGTACCTGAGGTAATGTTTAGAGGGATTATTAGTACCTTAGTAAGAGCCACATTCTGATTATGTTCGTTCATATTGTTCTTTATAGGGCATGCGTATGATAGGCTGCATTAGCCATGCTCGGGTGCCTATGGGTGCAGGCTGCACATATCCTCCACAGAGGATAGGGCATGTTTCATGAGTAGGAAAATCGTGTATGCCCTTCTGTTCACAGCTTTCACAATGTTACCTAGGATATATATATGATCATTCAGTGAAAACGGTATTGCCGTGATACCCAACAAGCAGGGATTGTACCGTATGATCTAACTGGAATACCGTAGCGTGACACAAATATTCATGATAACCGCATCGTGGTCACATGATGATGCTCCAGTATATCTATCAAACAATGCTACCCGTACATTGCATAAACACGTTAAGAGACAATGGTACGTCTTTTATATACAGAGCCCCATACTCCCATGGCTACCTTGAGGAAATTGCGTTGGCTGATATGTAAGGGTGGGTGGCGTGGCATGGGATGAGATGGAATCACGGACGGCACAAATGGGAAAGAGAAGTGGACCTGCGTGAGAACGGGAATAGAGCAAATGTGATGCATGCTGCAGCGCACTTGAGAACATCAATTATATTTGCCCCTCCTAACAATCATCCCCTGTCCCTCAAAACATCTTTCTCACACCACCTGAGGTGGTCCACCTCCCCTAGCAGGCTGCTGTGAATGGCAGCAGGTGGCAACACAGGGAGAGGGGCTGAATCCCTGGAGTTTGAAGCGACAAATTCGAGTGGCATGGATGCAGGACAAAGACCTGCAAGCTGCATCTCCCTTGAACTTATCCCAGTGTGCGCTGCGGTGATGCAAACACCTCGTCCTCCTCTCCTCAAGGCCCTTGTGTGTCGCCACCATTCACCACTACACATTGACATGCTTCAGAAAGGCTACCCCATTGTACTTAACTTCACTCTTTGCACAATATAGGTAACGGGCATCAAGAGAATAGTGGGAATGGGTAAACGGCAGAACAGGGATG